AAAAGTAACTGCCTGCTTTTAGCAGAGCCTAGAGAAGGATGGCTGTGATATTGCTGCTATTTCTCTTGCTTTCTGGAAGCTTCCAGCACTGAGGCGGACTGCACACAATTGAAGTACCCTGACAAAGAGACACTCGAACTTGGATGTGTCACAATCATGTTGACTTCATTTGCTGCACATTTTGTCACTCTCTTGCCTTGTTGCTAAGCAGCCTCTTAGCGGAGCTAAGTAACACTGAATGGCAGGTTCTTTTTTACGGTTTATCTTATGTTGACATTACTTGGTGTAACTCGTGCAAGTAAATGGCTCATTCATCGAAGTCACATGAGTTAGCCACAATGAAGAAGAACTGGAAAACACATTCAGCAGCAATGCTTGCTTTCCTGTTTGAGACTGGATGTCGTGCCTCCCTGCTCATGCCCTCACCCAGACAAAAGTTTCTAGAGTGAAATGAAAGGAACATGGTTAGCCTGTGTAGCCAAGGCATGCTGAAGCTGTGGTGAATAACTCACCTCCTCCCTCTGCTTGCTCACCCCTGACTATCCTTCATGTCTGTCATGCTAATAGTTCCTTTAGTCCCTGCAGCCTGCAGCCTCTCGAGTCCAGGCTGTGAATCTGCAGGGATGTAATAAATCCTTTAACTCTAGCTCCACTGGTCTGAACACAGAAATCCAGCCTGGTTCCACCAGGAAGCAGTGTCCTGGACTCCTGCCTCCCAGTTTTATGTGTGCTATTCTTTGTTCCTCTTTAATCCCATGCCACAACCTTCCCCTTCTCGCCCTTCCTGGCATTCTAGCAAGCGTGTGCACACGTATGCACAAGGGCTCCTTGGGATGCACATACAACTGTGATGTGCCACATCCAGCCTGCCTGGCAAGGCTGTGAGCCCTTCCCGAGATGCTTCCCAAGAAGCAGTGGGACCATAACCCAAAATGATGGAAAGAGGCTCAGGGTGGCTCCCTGGAAAAACTCAGGGAGAGTTCTATCAATAATGCTAGAAATGTCATTTCCCAGGAGTCCTCCAAATTCTGCATAATACTTTGTAGCATAATGGTTTACTAGGTGCTAGCCTTGCTTAGGTTTTGACATGCCTTTAGAAGTGTATTCCTTTCTAAATGTGCCCCAGGCATTCACGAAAAAACTTATGACACGTGCTCTGCTTATTCCTCCATACTTTGTTACCTGTGATCACTGATGTGGTGAGGGCCAAGCTGTTGCTGCAGAACAGCCAGGGGAGTGTTTTGGCATCTGTGGGAGTGTTGTCGGCTATTAAGGCTGTAATTTAAACACATCTCAGTGAAGGAGGTGGAGTGATATTGATCATACTTACTTAATCTGTTCTCTTCATGAGTTTCACATTTCAAAAGCAAATAGTTTCTTATTCCACTTACCTGCAGCCATGACACTGAGATTGTAGTGAATATCTTCTACAAACTTCTGACCTGAAATGTCTAGCACAAGCCAAGAGTTGTTCCACTTTTTAGCCTTTCCTGCTGAGTCCATTCCTACGGAGGTGATGTAAGACTCGTCAGCTGGAAGTACGCTGGAATCTAGAACAGCTGCCCCAAATGGGGTCTGTTAGAATTACCCAGGAAGCCATGCAGATTCTCAGATTTGAACCCCAGAGGGCAGTGTAGAGCCAGGTGTGCCCACCTCTACACAAGTCTGCTGCTCTCTCCAACAGTGTTGATCTTGCAGAGAAGCTTGGGCAGCTCCGTAGGCCTGTCCACTTCTTGCATCACATCATTGGCATCTTACAGTAAAGAAAGCAGATTAGCCCAGCATTTCCTTGGGTATTAGGTCGCTTTGGAATCTGTCAAGATTTTCCCAGGATTGGTTTAAGAGAAGGTGGCCAGCTATAGATTTTTCAGCAAGGGCTTAGTGGGGAATACTCCCAACCAATAACTTCTCATATCTGAGGAAGAGTGAGCTATGTGTGTTTCTAAAGAGAACAGGTTTGTGACAGTTAAGTGGCCCTGGCCCTGATGAGCTGTTACTAATTTAGTACCTACTCTGTGCCTGAACAGTGGATTGTGTTCCTTCTCTGCCTAAATTTATGAAATTATCCAAACTCCACAAAGCTAACATTTTTAATGAAGAAAATGAGACTTCAGGAAGTGTCCTCATACTTACAGCCACTGTGAACTCCAGTTCTTTAGCATATTCTTGGTTGTAGGAGGCAAAGACAATGATACTTGGGAGCAGCAGACCAGTAAGCTGATGGCAGCTGCTGTTGAAGCTGTCATTTGGAGTCCGGTATGACAGCATCCCAGGAGAAGGATCAGGCATTCGAGGCCAGCCTTGGCCATCCCAGAATATATGAGATTGACTTTAAAAGGTAGGGTGGAGGAGGAAGGAAGGAAAACCCATCACTCAGATGTGCATCAAGCCATATAGATTCTTTGAAAGGGGATGTCCTTTACATACCAATCCCAGAAAGTAGCTGGATATCAGAGAGTGGTGAATGTGTCTGCAATGGCCATCAATAAACAGACCCTGATGAAGAAACCCTGATCATTTACGTCTCCCACCACCAACCATAGCCCTTGCTGGCAGCCCTAGAATTTAGCACTTAATCCAGGTATCCATTCCTTTACAAACTTACTATTACTTACCCAAAAAGTATACAAGTGTCATATTTTAACCATTTCCTCAGACTTAAATCTCTTATAAGGATTCTCAAATATACGTGTACATACATACATATAGAGGAAAGGAGGGAGGAAGGGATGGGGGAAAGAGAGGGAAGGAGAGAGAGAGAGAGAGAGAGAGAGAGAGAGAGAGAGAGAGAGATTTTCTTAGTTCCATAGAAAGATCTTATAGAATCAAACCATTCATTTAATTCAGCAAGTATTTTAATTTCCTGAGATTTTCAAACAAAACATCTTCTGTGGCTTGGGTTGGGTGTTTTTTTTTGGGGGGGGGCTGCTATTTTTCACAAGAAGTATTACTTTGTGAAATTATTTGGATTTTAAATAAAAGTATAGCACTAACTTCATTTGTGGTCAGTTCAATAGCTACAGCTGTGAACTGTACTTAAAAGTAACTGTGTACTTAAAATCAACATTGAATTAACCTGGTCAGTTGATCTTGGCCATACATCAAGGAAAGTGAAGAAGTCCCTGTCACTCTGGAATCTTTGCAGCCTCCAGAACAAAAATACAATTTATACATGATGCAAAGTGTATACTGTTTCTTTGGCCACTGTTAAAGATCAGCCTTATGACAGAGGAGTCATAATTCAGAGGAGTGAAGCAAGAATATTAGTATTCATATGGAAAATAAGATCCTGAAAGTGAGGACTAGGAGGCCAGGCACACTGCATTCTGAGTATGGGATCCTAGGCTCTTGGCTCCACATTCTCCCCTCTCTTGTTCCAAGCTCTCTCCTCCCCCAACTCATCCTCTTTAAAACACTTACTTTATTTGATAAGTCCCTTGTTTCAGGACAGCTCAGATTTTCTTTTTACCCAGGGGCCCAGATGTTCTAGCCCCACCCCTAGCACTGTGCAGCCCACCATGGCTCAGAGCTGAGCTCCTGTCCATGTCTTCTCTGATATTCATATAAAATGCCAATGTGTAGAATCACCTAATAAAGGCTATCCAACATTTTGTGAAAAGCCACTTCAGAAGACATTGTGCTTGTGTTATCTGGTGTCCCCTGTGATAGGAACCACACAATAAATGTATATTAGAACTTAGTTCAAGAGACTAGAAGAAATGTACATATAACTAACACTCACACACACACACACACACACACACACACACACACACACACACACACACGCACACACACCTCCTTACTTATATACATGAGGATGGGCCTAATCGCCTTAGTGCAACAAAAATGTTTCTTTCCCTTTGAGCTAATTTTAATCCTTAGTTCTAGCAGCACTTAGACTTGTTCCTATTTCTATTCTACAAGTCATATGAAATGGGTCACCTGCAGTCTTTTGAAGACAGCAGCAGACATGACACTGTATTGATTTTGAGACTGTGTGTTTGCATTTCTAAAGCCCAGATTACACTGTAAATGTTTTTGTTCCATGAGTTAGTTTAAGGAACTCTAAAATTTATTCAGGCTTACTAGGGGAAAAAATTCTTCTGGTTTCTCCCAATTTTTTTAAATTCCTGTCCTATTTTATTAATCTAGCAATTACCATGTATGGTAGACAAAAATTTAAATCACAGATTTAATGATGAAGAAAAAAGTCAGTCATGATCCTGCTAATGATTATTAATATTCTTGCTTGCCAGATATTTTTAACTTATACACACACTTATTTTTTACCACCAAAATGTCACCCTGTATCACCGAAAACACAAACAACATGTATAACATTTGTAACCACTTAATAATCAATTATAAGAAACTGCCAAAGTATATGGATAATGGTAACCATACAGAATAAATCAAATCAAAATGAAATTTTTTCCCTGATGGTGGAGGTAAGTAGTGGGATAGTGCAAGATATTATAATTTAGTTTTTAGAGTATGCATTTGTGAAAGTTTTAAATGAAAATTAAACAGAAAAGTTAACATTGAGAAGCCTCATCTTCCACCCTATTTCTTTACCAGGATCTCTATGGTAATGGTTTTATTAGTTCCCTGGGTCGGAAAGAGAATACATATTCCCTGCTTAGACAACAGGTAGTAGCATGGCCTCCTATACATTTGTTCCACCCCTTACTGTTTCCACTTTGATTGTTAAGGAGATCTTCCATACAAAGAGATAGAATAAGTATTATCTTTTGTGGAGGGGGCGGTAGGAGTTATGTCTACAAAGTATTCAGTTCTGTAGATAGACCATAGCTCAAGTATTTTGTTCTCTACCAACCATATTTTCCATTACAAATGGTATCATTATTAGTGCTCTAGAATATATCATCTTACGCATATCAATAATTATAAGGAGAAAATCTAAGTCTCCAGAAAAGATGAGTACGCGGGGTCCTCTATGCTGAGGTGTCTGATGCGGCCTTTCTCTCCCTTCACAGCATCTTCCTCAAAGAGTTGGAGAAGTACGAGCAGCTGCCTGAGGATGTGGGACACTGCTTTGTCACCTGGGTAACCAATCTAAGTTCCTCCCCTACTGTTCATGTTTCCAGGGGTACACCTGGAGCCACTGCTCCATGCCTGGCCAAGGATTGTCCTCGCTCCCAGTCTCTCTTGGGGCCAGGTGCTGCAGAGGCATCATGAGTAAGTCCATGGCAGGTGGTACATATCTGGAGAGCAGAGCCATCCCTGGGGAAGTCTATGATGTCCATCAAGCCTAAGATCCACCTCAGTCTCTCTGAATTGTCCAAATGATGAGGTCAGGAGAGTAGCTACCCTGTGGTAACACAGTCCACCAGTTGCTTTCCCAGGACGTAGATTTAGAAGTGAGAACTTGCAGGCACCATCTGTCCAATTACCAGTTACACTGTTTTCCTTAATAAAGAAGAACAGACTCCTGCACTCTCCATCCCAATTTTGACTTAGAGGATGAATGTGTAGTTGTCCTCATTCTCACTGTTGTTGCCATGGGTGAAGTCTGTGGGCCAGAGGTACCAGGTTCTAATTATCTAAACTGAAAAAGTAAACTTCTGTAGCATCCCATTGCACACCATCCTGAGCACGGACTCATGGGTGTGAATCCAGAGAAGTCTAGGAGTCCACTTATGACACCAAATTCAACTGCACATCCTCCAAGAATTCTGCGCTGTAATTGTTACTCGGTGGTAATCTGTACCCAGAATGGCTTTCCAGGATTCCTCCACGGTCTAGAGAGATTATGCTTAGGAGTAGACAAGACTGTAGATGCATTTTAGATCTCATACCTGGGTCTTTCTTAGACACGAGGCAGAACGCCCACTGGCACATGACAAATAGCCCAGCCAACCCTACACCTCAGGGCCTGACCCCCAGACAGGCCTTCTTTGCATGAACTCTTAATGTTTTCCTCCAAGCATACTTTATTTTTTTCACAGTCTTAGGCTGCCATCTTACTTTGTGCCAGAGTGTAAGCTGATGCATATCTCCTAAAAATGCTGATCAAAAATAATTTATGAGCCCATACACAGCCAACATAGAGGAAAACCAGACTGAACATCAAGAAAAGGGATTATTTTGTGTTGCTTCGGGCAATTTTTGGGTTCTCTTTGAAATCAACAGTAAGTAGAAAGGCCCTAAAATTGTTTCAGAAAACCTTTGGTGATTGGGTAAATTGTGCACCTTTTGCCAAGAATTATCTTAAGGAGATTTTCTTATATTTTACAGTCTATATATAAGAACAGTCCAGGAGTGAAGAGTAGAAAGAACCACTTATAATATGTTGAGTTAAAATTGGTTAAAACTAAGAATCCTGCTTGCTTTGGGCTTGGCCACTTATAACTATGAGAATTTAAAGTCACTTAAGGAGTCTGTGCCACAGTCTGCTCATAGGTAAGATTAGAATAGCTCTAAAGATCACTGTTTAGGGATGATGGCCTTAGGATCAAGTGATGCAATGTACTTAACATGTAGGACAGTGAAGTCTGGGATCATAGGTACATATGTGCACTTCCCTCCAAGAGAGGCTATTCCAAGTGTTCAAAAGACATGGAAATGGACAGTGATTCACCATTGGAAAAAGCATTTAGTTGCCAAAATCCACCTGTTTTCAGGGGAGAACTAAGGTCATGAGAGAAATAGGTGAATTTTCACCCAAACATGAGTCTGGGGCTTGAGGTAACAATATCTTTGGGAATCATTGTTCAGGCCCTGAAAGTAGGGGAGGCAATGTCCCTTCCTTATTCCTGCACCCTCATCATTACTTGTGGGAAGCTGAAGGTGAGAACAGGCTTCCATACTCCCTCCATTGGAGGTATTTGGAATATAAGCGGACCTCTCTCTGACCATTCACTCATTGTTCACTCTATTGTATTTGCCTTGATCACCTGAGAGAGAGAGAGAGAGAGAGAGAGAGAGAGAGAGATTATTAGTGATCTAAAGTGAGCGTAATCGATAAGTTCTTCACAACTTCAGAACATGTTAGCATTTTTCTTTCTTTCCAACACAGCCTGAGCTTCTGTTCAGCAGGCTTTTTCTACATCCCAATAGGAGAAAAGCATCCATGGGCTGAGAGAACACATGCCACTTTTCATACGCAATTCAGACATTGTACAGTTCACACTGGGCCTTTCAGGTATTGTGAGGAAAGGAAGTACATCAGCTAGCTTTATGTCAGCTTAGCACAAGCCAGAGTCATTTGGGGAAAGGGAACCTCAATTGAGAAAATTCTTCCATCAAATTGGTCTGTGGACAAACCTGGGGACATTTTCTTGATGGATAATTGATGTGGGGGGGGGGCTAACCTCACTTTGGGCAGTTCCATCCCTGGGCTGGTGATCCTGGGTGCTATAAGAAAGCAGGCTGAGCAAGCCATGAGGACCAAGCCAGTAAACAGCGTTCCTCCATGCCATCTGGTTCAGTTCCTGCCTCCCCATTCCTGCCTTGAGTTCCTGCCCTGATTTCCATAAGATGAAATAAACCTTTTTCCCCCCAACTTGTTTTTGGCCATGATGTTTTATCATAGCACTATAAACCCTGCCCAGGACAGAGAGGACCCAATGAATGCTGATCTTTTGTTGTCTTTGTTCTTTTTAGGCAGACAAATTTCAGATGTATGTCACCTACTGTAAAAACAAGCCTGATTCCAACCAGCTGATTCTGGAGCACGCTGGCACCTTCTTTGATGTAAGCTGTGCTTTTCCATTGTCAACAGTCCAGGAGCAGGGAGGGAGGGAAGAGGTGCTTCTCTGCTTTGCAATTAGTGCCTATCCTTTCTTCCTTGTTCTTCTTTACTGGCCACACTAAACCAATCTCATGGATAAAATATTTTGAAAAAACAGAACCAAACAGTATCTGTCTGTTTTACACCATCCTATCTCCATTGTGATTTTGATAGGCATTTTTTTTTTCTGTTTCAACACTAAAACTAGTGAGGCCAATGAAGATATAGCTGATACTGCCAAGGTGTTTTACTTTCTCAATCAGTGGTCCACAGGTGTGGTCACTGGGCCAGGCACATCAGCATCACCTGACTATCTTTCTGAAGTGCAAATTCCCCACTCCAGGTCTGTTTGACAGACTCTCTTCTGGATGCAGCCCAGCATTCTGGGTTGGAAGGGGTCCACTGGTGTCTCTGACACCCACCCCATCTGTGAACTGCTTCACTGATGCCTTCGTTTGCACTGTAAACACACATTGGAATACACCAGCCATCTTTGAAAAATTCCTGACTCCTCTGCTTCAGAAGCCATGAGTCGAACTGACCACAGCAAGTATTGGGGTGACCGCCAGAGTGGACATCAAAAGAAAGGAAGTCTGGGATCCCCTGTTCTCTCAGAACATCAGCTGTTGAATGAGAATGGTCTTGGAGGTCAATGGGATATATCCCCTTAGTGTTGGTCCCCCTAAAAGAGAGTGACCTATTGGCTAGAAAGTAGAAGGATCCAAAGAGCACTGCAGGACACAGGGATGAGACAGAAAGTTAAAAATAAGGAAAAATGAAAGACTACACAGCAGACTATAGCACTGATGGCCTCCGCTGATCCTGTCAGAAGTGACAGAAACTTATTCAGCAATGTGTCACAGCTGTCATCCCATCTTGCTGCCCAGCTGCTTTCATTGCTTCTGGAGCATTTTCTATTGCATGTAAGATAACAGGCTAAGGCCCCGGGAGAATACAAAGATGTTGCAACAGGGTCTTGAACTCCAGTTTGCAAAATAAACCTCTCAGGCATCATTCTAGGCTGACACCAACATAGTAGATTGATTCTTTGGGGACCTTGTTGCTTGGTGAAGTTTGAGTAGCAGAAGCTAGGGGAAGAGCAAACATATATGACTTTTTTAAATAGATAATTAATTTGGAAACAGCCTCGGGTGTCTGAAATTGGGATTCCTGGGGTAATATTAAATCCAAGAAAGTACTTCTCTAATCTGGTACTAGGATTTGTCAGATAATTATATTGGATTCTCTCTACTAATGCTTTCTTTGATTGACAGTGCATTTCTATAAGATGTCTCTGCTTGGTTAGTCATCAGTGGTATCCAGAGGGGTCTTTTTGAAGTTGTAAACAGATGGTGTCCTTCTTGCACTGAGCATTTTAATAACACAATTTCTGTGCCCTCAGAATGCCTCCTTGTCCAGCATTTTCCTTTGCCTACCATTGCGTCTCCTACACACAAACACAGGTATACATGCATACATATCATGCTTCGGAATTCTTCCTGTCCTTCACAAACTCAAATGCTGCATCCTACACAAATCCTGCTCTTTATGCATGCACTGTGCTTTTCGTCTCTATCATAGAGTTTGTAGCAATTCACTGACAGACTTACCTTTCTGCACACATCCACTCTCTCTACCTGCAAACCCCTTGAGACTTGGTGTTGCAATTCCTGGTTCCTGTCTGCACATGTCTCCATGCCTGGTGCTATACTGTGTTTCCAGTAGCCCTACTTATGTCCCTATTTCCAGTCCGTTTCTAATGGAGGAGGCGGAGTGATATTGACCATATTAACTTAAGCTGTCCTCTTCATGAGCTTCATGTTTTAAAAGAAAGTAATTTAATATTCCACTTCCTGCAGCTATGACACTAAGATTTTAGGGACTGTCCCTGCAAACTTCTGAACTGATAAGTTCAGTCCTACAGAGGTGATACAAGACTTGTCCACCGGAAGCACACTGGAATCTAGAGCAGTTGCCCCAGGGGTGGTCTGTTAGAATTACCCAGGAGAGCCATGCGGTGGTGGCGCTCGCCTTTAATCCCAGCACTCGGGAGGCAGAGGCAGGTGGATCTCTGTAAGTTTGAGGCCAGCCTGGTCTACAGAGCGAGTTCCAGGGCAGCCAGGGCTACACAGAGAAACCCTGTCTGGCAAACAACAAATTACCCAGGAAGCATTCCTAAACCACACAGATTCTCAGATTTGAACTCCAGAGGGCAGCCTAGAGCCAGGTGTGCCCACCTCTACACAAGTCTGCTGCTCTCTCCAACAGTGTTGATCTTGCAGAGAAGCTTGGAAAGCTCCGTGGGCCTGTCCACTTCTTGCATCACATCACTAGCATCTTGCAGTAAAGAAAACAGATTAGCCCAGCATTTCCTAAATATGTTAAATGCATATGGAATATATCACCTGCAGGAAACAGAACACTGCATGTTTGCATCTCTAATGCCCGAACTGTGCTGCTCAGTGTTCTTGCTCCATGGGTCAGTGTGGGATAGTCTAAGACCTACACTTACTCAAAGAAACATGACTGTCAACAATGACTTCTGCTAGCAGTCCCCCCAACTTTTAAATATCCTTTTATTCGCTTAATCTAGCAATTACCATATGTTGAATACAAAATTTAAAGTTACAGCTTACAATTATAGTCATCAATGATCCTAATACTGATCTCCACAGACACATGTACACACAAGTGAACATGTATACACACATATACCACCCCCACATACAAAGCAAGTATATACATTTTAGCTATTAACAGACTTCCCACCAAAAAAATAAAAAGCACTAGTCATCACTAACTCATTTTCTGTACCTATAAATCTATCTTGTCTGGACATTTCACATAAATGGAATTATGTAATATGTGATCTTTTGTCACTGGCTCTTTTACTTAGCGTAATATTTTCAAGGACCATCTATGTCAGTACCTCCTTCCTTTTTATGGCCAAATAGCCCATTATAAGGCTCTACCACATTTGTTTTTCTATTGATAAACTGATGGGCATCTGGGTTGTCCATGCACAGACATGTGTTTTCACACCTGTTAGGTCCATCTTGGGGATGGAATTACTCAATCACATGTTGACTTTTTATTTATGTGCCTGGGCTCTTGTGATAACCTCCTAAGTTTGTCTATTTACCCAGTCCCTTCCCCCATCTGCTGTAATTAGCACACTTAGCCCCTCTAAAGTGGTTGCTGAGTATCTACTTTCTTTAATAGCTACAGTATTTTGGCATTGAAAACTTTGCCTTCAAATCCTTTTTATTTTCCCCCAATCAACTCCATTAGTTAGTTACCTAACCAGTTTTGCCTATCAGCTCTTGTTTTGGCTCCTCCCCTGCTTCTAGAACCTGCCTACCTTTACTTCCTTCGTCTGTTTGGAGGCATGGTCTTCATTATTTTCCAGCACAGTGATAATTGTGTTAGCCCAGATGGGACTTTGTCTCCACTAACTTACCCTTTGCAGTGACCTCTGTTTTCATTGATTGTGGCAGATCCTCTACGTCCTTTGCAGTTCCCTGGTTTCTGTGTGTTGCATATTCTCAGCTAGATCATAAGCCTTTTGAAAACAAGGACAAATATATCTGTCCTCTCTCTACACATTAGACTTAGAAGGTGATCACTTTGAAATAGGGTAGAGGATGGTTTAATACCTGAGACCAAAGGTACCAACAGCAACTAGAAATCATGGTGTTGGCTTCGCTGTGGAGATGGAAGGATTTGTCACCATTCACAACAGAGGGGACATTACTAAGAGTGACTCTGGTTTCCAGCTCAGGAGAACTGAGCAGTGAGAGGCGTTGCTGACTACAGTGAGAAATGTGTAAGACACAAAACAATGATCTACACTGGGGTGTATTAAATCCCAGCAGAGAAGGGATGGTAGGAAGAGCCGTGTCCTTGTGCAGTCTTAAGGACTGGAAGGAGGATAAGACTCAGTCTCCTTCTGCCTGCCTGTGGCTCTCCCTGGCCCCTGTGCTACCTCCATCTTCCTACCTTTCGACTTAGTCTCTCTTCACCCTGTCTCACCTCAGTTCCCCCTTCAGTCTATTACTCTCTGCTGACTCCTTTCCTACTTTTATCTTTCCCCAGCTCTCCAGCTCAGTTTCCACTTCTTTCATGAACCTGATTCTTTCCCAAAAGCTTCTCTCTTTTTGTTGCCAATTCTCATTTCTCTTTGTCTGTGTTCCTTGGTCTCCTGTGTTTCTTCATGCTCTCACTCTTATGGTCACGATCTCCCAAAAACATTTTCTCATAAATGTCTACTTTGTCTCCGTTTAGAAAGTGCACCCATGCGCGCACACACACACACACACACACACACACACACACACACACACACACACACACACACCTGTTCTCTGTCTCATTGCACCTATTCTCGCCTGCAGGAGATCCAGCAGCGGCATGGCCTGGCCAACTCCATCTCTTCCTACCTAATTAAGCCTGTCCAGCGGGTCACCAAGTACCAGCTGCTCCTAAAGGTACCTCCCCTCCCCACCCAACCCTCATCCCTGACCAGAGGACCCCTCACAGTGGGAAACCCTTACCAGAAGCCTTTCTTCTACCTACAGCAGAGCCTGAGATGAGCCCGAACCAGCACTGCTGGCTGGAGACTGTGTGTCTTATCCCACAGAATTCACATACTTGTTTGAGTAGAAATGAAAGAAAGGGGAACAGGAAAAAGTCATAACTATTTTTCAGCTCCAGTTACCACTGCAAACTCTTAGTGATTATCACCTCAGGTACTGGCCAGCTCCTTCCTGAGCAGATTCCCTCCTGTGAGTATCCCACCTGCTGAAACCAAGGCAGAAATCTTAGGGATACTGTGGTCTATACACCCATTGGTACCTTCCATCTTCTTGGCTACTGTGTCTGTGAAAATCACAGGGTTATTGGAGGAAAATGGTCCAAAGGAATGTATTAAACTCAGTGACATCTTCAGTTGTAGAGACCCATATGTTAGGGGTGCTTCTGAAGTCAGCCAAGAGAGTGGATTTTCTCTTAAAGTCTAGTTTTAAATGTTCAATAATCAGATTATGTTAAATACTAAGTAAGCTGGGCTTATCTTTCTTATATAAGGATGTACCATATTCTAAAAATATGTCATTTCCATAGGATGTCAGGAAAATGGAGATAGACAATTCAATACCAATATGTTTCTATTAAGTCTTGAAGTATAAGAATAAGGGTTTTCTACCTTTTAAATATATTGTTGGTTGTTCATCTAATGAAAGGGACAAAAGGATAGTTAGTAAAAGTAGTGTAACTTCACAGAAAGCACCCAGTTCCATTTATGTTTAGAGATGCCTGCAGAATCTTACATAATCTAGCTTCCCCAAACCCGAAAGCCAGTCTGACTTTCAAATCCAGTTCTCATCACACATTCTCCATCTCAGCCCTGCTACCCAGGTCTCTAGGACAGGGGCATGGTGCTCATGTTCTGCATAGGAGGCTTGAGTGATGCCTCCAGGGAGTATGCCAGTTCTTTGTTCTGTTTTCTGTGTGAGGGCAAAGCCATGCAATCAGCCTTCCCTCCACCCTCATTCCTCATCCTTTAGAAGAGAGTGCAGATAGTCAGGCCACCAGCCCAGCAGAATGGCTGAGAAAATTGCAAGAGACGTCACATGTTGGCCTTTCCTGATCTTGAGAATCATTAGCATGGGGCTCCATGGTGCTGACCACATGTTGGCTCTTGGGGCAGAATTGCTTTTGCTTCTTTATCTTTTAAAGTTTTCGTGTAAAGACCAGAAGTTCCCATAAGGTCTTGGGGCAAGAAGTCTCTTCTCTAAAACTCAGTGTGGTTCTGATATTTAGGCCATGGGAGCTGTGGAATCAATCTTCTTGGCCTTTGAATCTCAGGTTGTGGGCTGTAGCCTAGAACTCCACAAACAGCAGACTTTACTTCTCTTTCTCTGCCCTGCTTAACGCTTGACCCTTCTAAGTTATCGTTTGTGCTGATAGCCTTTTTAAAAATTGATTTTTGTGTGAACCTGGAGAGATGCCTCAGAAGTTAAAAGCTCTGGCTGTTCTTCCAGAGGACCTGAGTCTAGCCTTACATGGCAACTCAGAACTATCTGTTAACTGTAGTTGCAGAAGATCTGATGCCTTCTTGTAGCCTCCACGGGCACCAGGCATGCAAATGGAGCATGGACATGCATGGGGGCAAGCCACCCACGCACATAAAATAAAATCATTTTAATTTCATTTTAAAAATTGATTTTTGTGGCTTTTGATTTGTGTATTACAAAGCCTTTGCAGGAATTGTAAGGTTGTGAGTTTTGAAAAAAAATAAAATAAACACCAATGCTCCCAGCCACATTGCCCATCTGGAATCAATTAAGATGTTGTTCTAAGAAAAATACAGCCATTCTCGTCTCCATTTCAGCCCTATAATGCTACAGTTCCCTAAGATGAATTAAGTGACAGAAGTGAGGAAGGGAATGGAGGCTGGAATTAGCCTTTAGCATCTGGGAAGTTGGAATCTGGACTTCCACTCTGGAATTGTGAGTTTGGGAGAGAGACAGGTTTGTACAGAGAATTGAGAGGCAAGCAAACAAGGTATCAGCGGTTTTGTTGCAGGGAAGTGTAAAATTACTATAAAAAGGTAATTTTGGCCTCTTTAATAATGTCCTGGTGGCAGAGTGCCCAAAGAGTAAAAATGGTTTGTTGAGCTTTACTGCAAATAACAAGGCATTTATTTTCTCTTTGAAGTCAGTTTAATTCCAAATAAATTGATATTTAATTATCAGCATCCCCTGGGCCTTGTCACTTAGGTATTGCACAAAAGTGAAACTGTGTCATTTGGAGTGTTTGATCGTCTGCTTGTAAATCTGCTGTAGCTGTCCTTTTCAGAGCCTAAATTAAATGTGCAGGCTTCTCCTTATCAGGACTATTGCAAGGGCCCGGGGAGAATGTATTGGCTCTGCTTGTAGATCGGGACACTTGCTAAATTGCTTAGGGGGATTAAACTAATTGGTGTTTTCTGTTGCAAACTGAAGCATATTTCTCATCTCTCTCCTGTGTTTCACTTCAGGCATTCTTTTGTTGTTGTTTGAGAACAAGGTTGGGAGGGTTACAGTTAGGAAAGGATATCAGAGAACTTCAGGGTGATAGAAGTGTACCTTTCAGAATAATGATGACATTAGGTCAAGTGGAAAGGGCAGGACCAAGAGCTCCAACTGCCCCCACTGTGTGCTGGACCTGAACACGAAAACACCTTTGTACATATGGAAATGTCTCCAAGATAACTCAGGAAATCCAGACACTGGGTTTTTGTTTCAGATTCTCAATAAGCAGATATTTTCCCAAGTAGAGAGCTTTACTAATGAGTTTAATGGAATCGATAATCCTGGGGCAGTGGTGGAGCAGGGGAAAATCCAGAACCACCTGTGAGGTTCATTCTTCTTTGCAGCATCAGAATGTGCTCTGGTCCAGATCAGCATACAAGATCTTCCAGTGATGTGTGCCTTGTGGTCTCGCCCTACAGAAGTGTGGTTGCTTTTTACTTAGAGGGCTGCCTAGCTCGTTTGTCACCTTTAGGAGAGCTTTGTTGTTAAAGCCTCAGACTCAAGTTTGTTTACTACAGGAAGTCCTAGCAGGTCAGATACATCCTGCTTCGGAGCATTCCACCGAAAAGTATTCTCCTGCCCCAAATGCCTTTAATTTTTTGCCAGGAGAAGTCATAACCATGCTTACAAGGTGTGATCTCATGATCTTTCTTTCCTAAAGCTGCTTTTGGGGGAGGGGCAAAAAAACATTCCAAATGGTCTCTTAATTACTGACTAGTAGGATGGTTGAAATGATCTTTTCCTCTACCAACCAAATACTGTGTGTCTTTCCCTGGGATGTTGATGAGTGAGACTAAAATGGAGAGGCGAAGGCAAGAGGGCATGATGCCAGGAAAGTAACAGGCTGTGTCCCTGGGGGTGGGTGACAGAGGACATGGAGAGGCTGTGGAGAGACTGGGGTCATAGACAGAATGCCAGGTGTGCATTCTGAGCTGCATCTCAGGCTGTGCTTGGCCACCTTGGAGCTATGTCCTTCTTCACTCCAGTCTCCTATGTGGTTGTCACAGTCCTAGTCCAGAATGTCAGTCACTGGCCTAGGTCAGGAGTCCCTGATCCTTGTGGTCTAAAACTCTTTTATAACTCTGAGCTGTTTAAACCCATAAAGTCTGTAGCCCCAAGCTGCTCCCAGCAGGATGGAAGTCAGTCATCCAGTAGTAATGATTGTAAATAAAAGTCAAGTCAGCATTCAGAGACCCATAGTGTCAACCACAGGCATGAAGAGACTCATGGTGTCAGCCACAGGCATACAGAGACCCATGATGTCAGCCATAGGGATGCAGAGACCCATGGTGTCAGCCATAGGCATGGAGAGACCCATGGTGTCAGCCATAAGGATGCAGAGACCCATGGTGTCAGCCATAGGCATGCAGAGACCCATGGTGCCAGCCATAGGGATGCAGAGACCCATGGTGTCAGCCATAGGCATGCAGAGACCCATGGTGCCAGCTATAGGGATGCAGAGACCCATGGTGCCAGCCATAGGGATGCAGAGACCCATGGTGTCAGCCATAGGCATGCAGAGACCCATGGTGTCAGCCATAGGCATGCAGAGACCCATGGTGTCAGCATAGCCATTCAGAGACCCATGGTGTCAGCCATAGGGATACAGAGACCCATGGTGTCAGCCGTAGGCATGCAGAGACCCATGGTGTCAGCAAAAGCATGCAGTGCTCCAGCGGACAGTGTAGTAGCCTTGTTTTCTTTTCACCAGGGGTGATCCCTTTCCAGGAAAGCAGTGCAGTGACAGAGTGCTCTGGTTTTAAAATTCTGGCCATTGAAAACTGGAATGGATTAACTTCATTTGGACTAGGTAGAATTCATCTGGTCATTGAGCTTTTGGCAACAATCCCCATCTCACTTTCTTTATAGAGCTCTCTGAGGGAAGTGTTACAGACAGAGTGGGGCTGGTGTATAATTTACTTGATGGCTTAGAAAATGGAGGGTTGTGAAACTGGGGAGAGGATTCTAATTGTGTCTGGACTTTTTTCCCCAGGAACTTTTAACTTGCTGTGAAGAAGGGAAAGGGGAACTCAAGGATGGCCTGGAGGTGATGCTCAGTGTCCCCAAGAAAGCCAATGATGCCATGCATGTCAGCATGCTGGAAGGTAGCTGATCTCCCAGTCCTTCTGGGATGCCGCCTCCATTCCTAAGACCAGGGAATTTGTGTTGTAGAGGGAAGTAGCACGAACAAAGAACAAGCCTGGAAAAGAGGAGTGAAAACAAGTTGTTAAATGGGTCCTTGGCTACCTATGTGAGGAGCACCACAAATCAGCATGGCTGTCTCCAGGTGCCATTTACAGTGTGGACACCTTGCTGTCCATGAGATAAAACAGTGCAGGCTGCGGTCTTCACTATCAACAGGCCAGAGCCCCCACAGACATGTTTGTATGCATAGTTTTTGCATTGCCTTCACAGCCAGAATATGCTGCTTGCACACAGTATTCACCAGTGGCTTTAGTGAGATATCTGCCTTACACACACACACAGACACACACACACACAGACACACACACACAGACACACACACACACACACACCCCTTTTTCATTACTAAAATTGATCTCAAACCTTGTCCATGATGAATAAATATTCCACTACTGAGCTATATCCACAGCTAGCTCTCTTTTCTCAGACATGGTCTCGCTAAACTGCCCATGCTGTCCTTGAAATAGTGATCCTTCCTCAGCCAGCTAAACACCTGAAACCACAGGTGTGCACCACCATGCCCAGCTTCTTTAAAACATACAAGAATACATAACATAAACTTACCATTGTGACCATTTTCTAATTGAATGTTAAGTGACAGTCACTTAACTATATCCATCCACTTAACACATACTCACATTCTTGTACAGCTAGTCCTTTGTCCTTCTTGGGAGCTTAGGAAAGAAAGCCCAGCCAGAACAAGTGCAGCATGAAGTAAGGCTCCTGTGACATGGTCACAATGTTGTCTAACAGATTCATAGTGGAGCCAGCCTAGGGATAAATAAATTTGATAGCTGGGTGACGTCTTAACATTCCAGTCTGACAAGCAGATGCTAAGGAAGGAAGTGTGGGGGCTGCTCTTTCTCTTCTGGCTTTGTCCCACAGTGCGACCTCTGCCACGACCATCATCTAAGAGACTCAGGGTGGCCTTACTTCCTGGATTACCCTTAGCACAAGAGCCCCTAGGTCTTAGAGCAATAGAGCCAATGTCATCTTCTCTAGACACAGTGCTAATCACCTGAAGGTGCTCCTGTTTTCACAATGTTCAGAGCACCTTCATTCCTGTGTATGCCTGGCCCCACCAGTGCTGGGTGTCCTCCTTTATAAGTGTCCCACTTGTCCAAACCTTCCCTCAGTCACAAACTTGATGCAACCTCTCCAGTGTTGTCTATGGACCTGTGCAATAGAGCTGGGTCAAAGTGCACATTTATGGACTCTCGTAACACCCACTCTTGGATGGAGAGGGATGCTCAGATTCCATGTTTTCATGTGATTTCCAGATAGTTATCATGTGCACTGAGGTTTGGAACCCTTCTGGAAGATTTGAAGTGGTGTATAAATAGAAAGCATTGAAAGCTTGTGTGCCACACTGTTTGGGAGCAATCAAAGAATCCCAAGGGTGGAATATAAGAAATGAGGCAATAGCAAATAAAACAGAGTCAAGGGTACTCCAGCAGACAGTGTTCAACCCGAGCCCCACTCGGAGCTAGGAGCAGTGGGAGTGTGGAGGAAGAAGCAGCTCTGGGACTGGGGACTGCCTTTTTGGGGGGTCCACAGTCCCTCTCACATGGGGAGGGAAGAAACACGTGGGATGTTTCAGGACACCCCACTCATATTGCATATGTGTATAGGAGGCATGGTGCTGAGAATAGGCAATGGGTGGTGACTAACTACAGTCCTATGGGCATATATGTTGTGTTAGATCTCATGGAAACCAGTAGCCAACTAGGAAACCCTTTCTCCAAGGGGGAATAGAACGCAGTCTCCCCTGAGTGTAGTGTGGAGACACTCCACAGTGGACATGGGTGTTTTTCAGGGTTCGATGAGAACTTGGATGTACAGGGGGAGTTGATTCTCCAGGATGCCTTTCAAGTGTGGGACCCAAAGTCGCTGATCCGGAAGGGGCGGGAACGGCACCTGTTCCTCTTTGAGATCTCCTTGGTGTTTAGCAAGGAGATCAAAGACTCTTCAGGACACACGAAATATGTTTACAAGAACAAGCTACTGGTAGGTGGGGCAGGTGGGGCAAGATTCCCTGCTTCTGTAGAACCTATGGCAGGAAGGGATACGGACACTCACAGCTCCCCTCTTCCCTACTTCTCTACTCCAAAGCTCTCCTGGACCAAGGCTCATGCCTCCTACTCCCACCCGCATCCTCCACTTTTGTACCTTAGAGTTCTCAGGTCTTTCTGTTTGCTTTAACACCTCCCTCTTCACCATATCTCCCTGTCTGCACCTGCTAATCAGACAAATGCCTGCAGGTTCTTTCATCCTGGGTATTTGAACAAAATGTCCAGTCTATTGAAGTTTGATTGACAGAAGCCCCTCCCTCGGCCCTCTCCTCTTTGTTGCCTTCCCCTTCCTATCCCAGCCCTAAGTTTCCCCCACTGCCCTCCCTTCCCCGCCTCTCACAGGCATTTCCTGTCTACAGACCTCAGAGCTGGGTGTGACCGAGCATGTAGAAGGTGACCCCTGCAAATTCGCCTTGTGGTCTGGGCGCACCCCATCCTCAGACAATAAAACAGTGCTCAAAGTAAGTAATGCTTTCTTCCAGCACATAACCAGGGTTGGGGGGTGGGGGAGGATAGAGGAAGCAGGCATGAGACACCAAGAAACAGGGCTCCAAGAGACCATGGAGCCACCAGGTGTCTCTTGGGAATGACAGCATCATGCAGGTATTGAGAGGCAAATTCTACCACGAAGGTGGACCCAGCATCTCAAAGACAGATGTTTTCCTCAAGTTCATAGAGAGTGGAGAACGACCTATTGACCTCCCTAACAAGGCCCAGTCAACTGGGTTCCTTCCATATGTCCTTTTCCAGTGGCCAGAACAGCCAGCCTCTTAGCAAAGGCATCTTCGGTTACTCTATGTTTGCTCAGCAGATTGTCCTAAATGTCTTCCATGTGCAAGGAACTCTTCTTAGTGCCATCAAAAAAAAGAACCATGTGTAAGATTCAGCCCTTATTCCCTGGAAATGTGTGTTCCAGAAGTTCCACTAAATCACAGCAGTCTAGAGGCCTGGGGGTCAGTTCAGCTCTCCAGGTTCAGCTTAGGGTTGAGTCCCTGTTCCTGGTGGCACCAGCCTGACTAGGTAGGGATAGTGCAAATAGAGGTCCCACTGGTCACTTGCTAGTCAAGGAAGTGTCCATCACCAAGGAACAGATGGCCCAGGCCAGGCAAAAGCTTCACAAGTATCCACCCTTAATTTGCAAGATAGCTGCTACCTAGCATGAAGAATTATCTGGAAAAGGATCCAGGAAGACAGTGGGGTATCATTGGCATGGAAGCTGTGCTTCTGATAAGTTCATTTAGCAGCCTGAAACCCCAGTACTGACCGTCAGCCTGTACTGGCTCTATGGGTGTGACAACTGTTAAATACCCTGGTGTTTACCCATCACCCTGCTGGTATATATCCACTGCTTTCAGCTGTCACAATTCAATTCACCTCCAGAGCCCCCTAGGAACCTCAATTCAAGTGGTAACTCAGGCTCAAAGGAGCGCACTAAATACTGTTCCAGCTCCAGGGCCAATAGCAGATTGGTCAGTGCCTAATGAGGTGTGAAATATTTTTACAAGTTGCCCATAAAGTCTACATTGAGTCTTGAAGCTGGGTGTCTCTGGGATTAAAGATTCAAAGGATAAAATGCAAAACAAAGTCCCCCAAAGATTTGGTGTCTTTGGAATAACAGCTGAAGCTGCCAGGGGAGAGTTGAACATGGTTATTTATGGGCAGCAAGAGCCGAGGTTCTCAGTGTTTCTTCCTGTGGCCCCTCTAGGCTTCCAACATCGAAACCAAGCAGGAATGGATCAAGAACATTCGAGAAGTGATTCAGGAGAGGATCATTCATCTTAAAGGAGCTTTAAAGGAGCCAATCCAGCTCCCCAAAACACCAGCCAAACTGAGGAACAATAGTAAGAGGTAACCAGCCCCTCTCCCCAAGCATTGCTGCCTCATATGCCCAAGGGAAGGGCAGGGTGACCCTTTGTTTCCAGGGGAAGTGTCCTCTCCATCCCATGAGTTCTGCCTATGGTGAATTCTGTCATCTCTAAGCTTTCACCAGTTATTATCCATTAATGCAGCTGGGGTTCTCTAAGCCCTCTTTACCTAAGTGTGCTAGCAGAATGTGAGGGGAACTATAAGTTGAGTTACTACCCCCAAGAACCTTCCAACAACCATGTCTTGCCCATGGTTGTGTTACATAAAAGCAATAGCCTCTGGAGATAGTGAATGCTGTCAAATAGGAAATGGTGATGACTCTCTGTGGAGATGGGGAAGGAAGGCTTCAGGAAGAACAGTCCCTTGAGTGGGAAGGCCTCCACATTGGCTGGATGGTAGAGAAGTTTCTTGTAGCAGGCTGCTGTGTCAAGGATATCTCTGCAGCTCCTAAGGAGTTTTTGTCATTCACCCTCAATGACAATGGCTTCAGGCAGCAGAGGACTTATTTATTGAATGTGTCTGGACCCTTCTGAACCCTAGCTTCCTCAGAATCAGTGGATGGCTTCTGAGGTGTCTCCTCAAGTCGCCATGTGGCATAATTACCTCTAATGACTCTGTTGAAGGACATTTAGAGAAAAGCATATAAAGTTTCACATACATCTTGAAGAAAAAAGTTTGTGTACATATATATAATATACATATATATGTATATAAGGCATATTCATAACTATATATATATATATTCATAGTGAGGTACTGAGAGTAGTGGTCACTGGTGGACTCCTCCCTGGTTCACAAAAGGCACAAGTCAGAGGGTTTAGTTGACCTTTTGGCACAGGGTTTAGTTGATCTTTTGGCCTCAACCAGGATAAGCAAATTGGTGAACCATTACAGAGCCATAGCATTGAAATGCTAGCACTGAGAGTGGTGCCAACTCACAGAAGAGTGTGACTGAAACAGAGACACCTCCGAAGTGATGGGCAGGATCAGATCACTTCCCCACTGCTGTGGGACCAATTATGACCTTATTGAAAAAGAGCCCATCTTGGGGCAGGAAAGATGGCTCAGTAGTTAAGAACTAGCTGGTCTTCAGAGGTCCTGAGTTCAATTCCCAGCAACCACATGATGGCTCATAACCATCTGTGATGAGATCTGGTGCCCTCTTCTGGCATGCAGGGATAAGTGTAGACAGAACATTATATATATAATAAAAAAAGTAACTCTTTAAAAACAAAAAAAAAAGAAGAAAGAAAAGTAAAAGAGCCCCCATCTTAATTTTATGTGCTTATGTCTAGACTACAAGCTTATTTTAGACTGGAGATAGACCCTGCCTCAAGGAGGTCCTGCTTCAACAAGGAATATAGAAAGGAAAATATAGAGAATGGATTGTCCAGGATTGTGTGAAAAGGAAACTTATTTGAGGTTGATGAGGGTTGCTCTGAAATCTGAATAGAGTTGGAGGGTTTCTAGAACACACGAAGGGCATGTCTTAGAAATGTCTTGCACCTTCTCTGTCTCCTACCTCTTTTCTTATCCTTCATGGAATGGAGAGAAACCTCACAGACTGCAGAGAACAGTCAGACCATTAGCTTGGCTTCCTGGATGTAGCAGCAGAGTTTATGGAGGAGTACATTGGCTCAGTCGGGGTGAGGGATGCCACCCACACTCCTGGATCAGCCCTTTCAGCCCCCAGAACTGGCTTCATCTGGAATGGACCAGAAGGGTCCAAAATAGGCCAAAACAGCAGGAAGTAGAAAGTACAGCCAGATCCCAACCGTCTACAAATGGGGGAGGGGGATGGCCCAGACCATTCAAAACAACAGATGATCTCAAAGTTCTTTATTTGGGGTTTTGAAATGCGTCACATAATTTCTTTTCACAGCAGACGTTGCCTTCCTACGAATGTGTGGCTTATGTTATTAAAATAAGTTGGCATTTTCCAAGCCCACAAGTGGTGGTAAGAAAGCAGTCAACTTAGAAATGTTCTGTCTGGGAGAAACTTCTTTTTCTCAGAAAGATGGCATATGCACACATATGCATACACATGGGCACCCCGGTGCACACACATGTCCCTATACACTCACAGGTATACCAGATGGTAATTGTTCCAACTCCATCTCCAGCACCGTTTCCCCCTTCTCTCGAGGCTTTTGCCCCTCTGTAAGCAGCATGGAATGGGGGTGACTTTTGTGAAAATGTCCATGGGAATAGCTGTGGTTTCCTCTGCTAATTCCTTTAACCTCAGCCTACATCTCCCAAGTTTTCCCTAACACAGACCAGCCAGCAATTCCCAGGCAACCATGCCCTTCAAGGCTTGACTCTGGGTTCAGCACAGAGTCAGCACACAGTCCTAAGGCAGCTGTGTGGTGCTAGGGTCCAGGAAGGGGACCATCACAGCACCAGGGAGCAGAGCTGGCTCAAATGCTGCTATAGGCAATGCTGCTCCCACCTTGGAGAAAGACTTTCCCTTCTGCATTGATGAGAACTCATCACAAATGGGTATGGAGTCAGTAAGACCCACCAGAAAGAAGACCATAAGCACCCTCTCCACATGCAGAAGCCAAGCATCCATCTGGACTTGGCCACAGATAATCTTCCCTTGAGGAAGTAACCCAACCCATTTTCTCCAGCAGAAGAAATTTTAAAAAATGAAAAATCCATCTTAAATTTCATGACACATACCAATAGTCTCAACAGCTTGGGAAGCTGAGGCAGGAGGCTTGCTCAGACCCAGGAACTCGGGGGTCCGGGGCGGCGGGGGGGGGGGGTATCTTATCCATTGTTTTCTTTTTCTGCACCAGCAGCAAGCCAATCCCCATCCTAGTATGACATGCAGAACCTTGAACTCTGGCTACTGAAAAGGGAACCTGTTAGCTGGCTAGAAGCCCAGGTTCTAAGTAAGATATTCCCTCCTACTGCCTGTATTCGACTCAATCCTAGTTGTTGTTGTTGTTGTTTTTAATCCCCCATCTGCAGTATGAGCTGGAAGGGACACAGGGCATTCATCGTGCCATGCTCAGTGTCGTAATCATTTGCTTAAATGAATGGGCTTTCACTGAGATCACATAGGCTGTACCCATTACAGGATAATGTTAGACAATCCCTGAGAGGAATATTCAGGCACCACTTTGCAGACCCATCTGGGAAAGCCTTGTGTGCTCAAAACCCACAGTGGCTCCCCCCACCCCCACCCCTGTTTCTTTTCTCTCTCTTCCTGCAGGGAGGGAGTAGAGGATGGTGACAGCCAGGGGGATGGGAGCAGCCAGCCAGACACCATATCCATTGCCTCCAGGACCTCTCAGAACACAGTGGACAGTGACAAGGTAAGATGGAGTCCCAACCTTCCTTCCCTCTACCCAAACTTGTGGTTGGTTTAGCCAGTCCTGCCTGGAGAATTGTGCTCAAAATTCCTTCCACTCTGGAGCCAAACAGCAGGAGCCAGCTGTATCTTGCCACCAAAGGAGGAAGGGCAGGGCTGGATAGGGAGAGTCATGGAGTGTGAAAAGGTGAACAGAGAGGCAAGTTGTCTGATCCCTCTAAAACACCTCACTGGACTGCCGGACTGCTGCCTCAGGAGAATGTACCTCAGAGAGGCTGAGGTTGGAATAGTGTCCTAAGACACCAGTAGCTGTGACTGGCTCATATTTATAATGGTTTGATTGAGGCATCTTTCAAAATCAGACCAGCACTTTGAGAACTAGTTACATGGACACTACTCAGTAGGAGCCTTTGACCCAAAAGGACTCTAGTGGGTAAATGATACCCTCCCTTCCCTAGCCATGTACCTGAGGCTCAGTTCCTAAGAGATTAGGGGCAGAGGGACCAGCAAGTGGTCTATGAAGTACAAAGTCATCCTCTAAGGAACCCTGACCACCTGACTCCCACACTTTGGAGCAAGCAAGCAGCATTAGGAACTCTGAGGGGAATGCTGAAAAGAGATTATTCCCATGTATCTGCTCAAGCTGCCTGTTGCATATTGTAATGTTTCTGATGAAGTAAGACTTTTCCAAACATTACTTGGCCCTAGTTCCTCCAGACGTGGTCCTTCAGGCTGCCCTCTAGCCTCAAGCGATAGGCTATGTCCATGTTTCCATTTTAGCTGTCTAAGTTATGGATACTTTTCTGCATTTATTAGTTTTATTTTTCCTTACTGGGAAAAAAGCCACTGAGAGCTAAGTGTGGGGACTGTGCCCTAAACTGCTGAGATAATGGCACCACATCACACTAGCCACACTTTATTAGACAAGTACTCAAGGACATCCGAGGTTAATTCCATCTGGCAACTGCTGTTGTGTTTTAAAGCCATTTCACTAGCAGAGTCAATGGAACATTTGAGTTTTTTCTACTTATAAAAACACAAAGGAAACTATTTCTGTGTTTTCCTGTTCCTCTGGTCTGTTGTCTAACCATATAACTAGACTGTCCTATGAATAAAAGTGTTCTTTTTTGAAGCAGTCCGAGGTTGGTAAGTCAAGTGTGATATTGCCCATGTTCAGACATAGACTTCTAGCTTTGTTGTTGGGAGACTCACCCCTCATAGCTGCTCATCCATCTCCCAGGATCCTGACACAGACAGAAACCCCTGTGCTGGGGCCATTTGTCTATTTCTTTTCTTGCTGGCAAGGTAAATGAGGCTAAACTGCACCTTTGACAGCAGGCCATTTATGAATGAAAGATGCTACTACTAAGTAAAACTGAGGGTCCTCAGAGTGACTCACCAAAGAAACTTTTAGTGGTCAGTGTTAAAGCAGGAGCCAGAACTCAGACCTGATCAGTGTCACATTTTCCCCTCACTCTGGAAGCCTAAGCATTGAACTCTCAGTGCCCAGTTAATCCATCAGGGTGTTTTTTCTACACATGCCACACAGACCAGACACATATTCTTGTCAAAGCACCTGCCGTGTGCCCAACCATGTGCTGGATACTGTGGAGAGACGTGCACTGTCTGTTGAGTGTGAATCCCATCTGTGCGATTTCTTGTTTCCTGTTGTCTCTATAGCCAGGCCATTGGTCCCCAGTGAGGACATGGGCTGTGTCTGTCTGTCCCACTGCTGTGCTCCTGGCATGCAGCATACATCAAGGCTCAGGGGTTATTTGTGAAATCAATGAATATAGATACATACTGTTAGGTCTCAGGGAATTGAGGATTAAGAGGCCACTAAAAACGTTTTCCAAAAGCATCCAAGTATACAAACATCCTATTTTTAAGACATTAAAGAATCATAGGTTTGAACAGAAAGCTTAGTAAGCTGGACTACTTGCCCTCTTGGGAGCATCAGCCCCCAGCCGCCTTCTCTGGCCCTAGGAGACAGTCAAAAGGTGAGGAGGTGACCACTTCTGCTCCATATACAAAGCATAGAAAAACCACTTATTGTCACAAAAAATAGTAATAGCCTGCTGATGCTTATGTGCTGTCCTTTAAAATGATCTCACCCTGCTCCCTACCCAGTGGTGAGGACAAAGCAGCCTTGTGACCCCCCTATGACCTGCTTCTCCCTCCAGCAGTGAAATTCTCCACTGATATCTTGAATTCATAGGTGTTATCAACAGGGTTCAGTTCCTTCCACTTCTCCTAAGAGACCAGAGAAGCCTGGTTTTCAGGTAACCAGATAAAAGACCCTGGACTGACTCAGGTAAACTGGTCATAGTCAGCATAAGGGTGAATGACATGGCTTTAGGGAGAGGTCAGGGTAGAGACACCTCACAGAAACCAATCGTTCCAGCAGTGGACTTTCTTCAGTGTGCCAGATCTTCTTCCTCAGATGCAAAGGAATGACTTGTGTTGGCACTATCGTCTGGCTGAAGGGCCCTGGGGAGCCCACTTAGGGCGGAGGCTCCCCTAGTCGTCTGTTGTGCTTACATGCCTGTATTATGCTGGAAAGTGTTTGAACACGGCTGAATGAATCTGACACCATTCTCTCACCTTGCCCAGATTATCATTCCTCAGTTCTCTACTAAATATGGTAATGATGTCATCTCATACAGTCACTGGAAAGAATAAGTGGCATACATCTACCTGGCGGCTGTCTGACGTTTGGTACAATAAGTGGCATATATCTACCTGGTGGCTGTTGACATTTGGTACAATAAGTGGCATATATCTACCTGCTGGTTGTCTGATGTTTGGTACAAGCTAACTTTCAGTAGTGTGGTATGAATGTGACCCTTTAAGCAGCCTGGGAGGAGCCTCATGAGGTCCTGAGCAGAGTTCCAACCTCTGGCTTCATCATTATCGGCAACTGTCAGCAGCTTCTTATCTGTGCTGGTCCTAAGATGAGGTGGCTTCTTCAGTTTACCTATCTGTAAACAGGATAGCATTTCCCTTCCCCTGTCCATGTTACCCTCAAGACTCTTCAGGCATAGATACTTGCTGCTAGCCTTGACTCATGGGTTGCTTTAATACTAGTGGATTATGGTCTACTTCTGTCTGACAGTGAATGAGCAAAGTTTATTACTTTTGAACAATGGTAGTCCTTGAGCTGTAGGTATTTAGAGACACGCATCATATTTTTCTAGTCTTTGAAGGTTATATTAGAAGTCCGGTTTCTCCAGGTGTTGATTATATTAATACATTCCCAGATTATTCCATTTCCTGGTTACCTTCCTCTGGGCTGCCTTCAGTGTGTAAATTCTATATAAAATAGGGTATTTAGAAGGTTGGCAGCTTGCACATGGGATGTGACTGTAAACACATGCCCTGGGGTTGACGAATTCAGAATTTCCCCTAAGATGATCATGGTGTCTATTGGAGTGTCCAGTGTTATTCATATAATCTCCATGCCTTTTTCATGGACAGACTTAGTGACTTAGAAATCTGAGTATAGGACAACTTTGTGTCTACTCGATTCTCTGGTCTAAACCCATCTCTTTGTTCTAGCATGTTCTGAATATAAAGAACTCTATTCAATATGTTATCTACACCTCCTGGAACAACCTTCTGTTCCTTCCTCCGTGTTCTTGCTTTTATTAAGAAAGGCCAGTGTGCAGCCTCCTTGCTCACCTACCACATGGAAACTCCTTGTCTAGCTCCTCTTTAAAACCTTAAGAGATGGAAATTCTACCTCTTCTCCCTGTGGCAGAGGAGCTGTGACTGTTGGCTTAAGCTGTAAGTCTCCCCCTTAGTGAGAGCACAGTTCATTATTCATAATTCTGTATTAAACCCTTGCAAAGCCGAGCTGAGTGCCTCAGTAGATAAATCCCACTAATAGCTCTCCCAGACTTCCTTTTGTTTGATCCTCAAATGGATCTACATAATTAGGTTTTCCACAGGCCTATGTTACACAAAAGTTATTTCTTCAAGGCAAATGAAAGTGCTTACTTCATCCCACAGTGGACCAAACCTGTTCTGTCTAGGAATATGCTAATGCTGCTCTGAGCAGAATATCCTACCCTCAAGTTCCTCACCTTGAGTTCTGGGCTTTGCTACCACACATCAGTTATCTAGATCCACACAATTCTAGTCAAGGAAGGCAGTGTTGAGGTGTCAGTGAGGAAGACTCTTCTCTAATGTGATGGGTGCCTGCCAGATGATTTCTAGCTGGTGATAGAAACACAGACATCTGCACTATGAGGAGCCTGGCGCATGCATTCAGGGCAGGCATAGTGGATGTAGCCAACCAATAAACATTTATTGAATTAAACATCAGAGACCCATCCCAGGGGAGACACCTCTATGCAAAAAGCACTGTTAGCCTCTGGACATGTCCACACTAGCTGAAGAGAGAGAAATTGGAGTGAAATTGAACTATGGGTGCTGTTCTCTGTAAATAATAATAATAATAATGAAAAGAACACTTCTGAAACATCTCATGATTGGTGTGGGATTTGAATATAGAACTTAAGTAATGAGCTGGTGTGAACCAAGATACAGAGTAGACCAGGGATACTGGTGTGACACAGGGGATGGGGGGATGAGTGGAGAAGAATGGAGATTTGAGGTGCTGACTCAATGGTGTTAACTCTGAATTATCAATTCAATGTGGTGTGTTATGACCAGTTTTGATTTAAGGGTTGGGAAGAAAGAACCGAATCTCTGTGTCCTGATGAGAGCATTAGAGATAAACACCTTGTTTATTCTCATTACATGTAAAACTTATTCTGGATAGATAAGGAACAAATCACTTAGGGGAAAAGAGAATCTCTTCAACTGAATAATTCATGAATGGAAAAACAGTAAATAGTCTTGTAGAAGACATATGGAGAAAGAACTTCTCAAAGAATGCACCCTAAGTCCAACTCCTTACTTGAGGAGTCTTAACTGAGGTTCCCATGCATATGATCTACTGAAGGCATCAAGGCAGATATGCATATGGTTCGCACGGGG